TTGTTCATAGTTGGTATGATCTGCTTCACATAAATTCCTAATTTAACCTTTTTTTGTTACGGGAGCTCGAACTAAATACGCATTGTTGTGTTGGGTATCATATAGTCGGCTCCGCCCGACCTTTGACCTCTCCTTCTGGTTTTTATTTTTTTTCCATTAGTTACCGTAATAACCCATTGACCAGATACTGTACGCATACTTAATTTGCCATGCTCTCTCTCTCACATCACACATCACAACACATTAAACTTGTGGTCTATGAGCATTGTAAGCCATCAAACCACTTAAGATCTCCCATGGCAAGTGATAATCATGCCGCCGAAAAAATAGACATACTGCAGCAACAACAAAGTCTTGTCTGATGCACCAAAGGCACAGATGGTCGGCCGGTCGTCTGGAGATACCTGTCACAGTACTGTTGTTGTTGGTGTCGATGGAAAACTAAAAACCCATTTAACTTTTCACGGATTTGCTGTTAAACGTTAGACAATAATTTTCGGTATGTTATTGTTTTTTCTCTGAGTTGTGGTTTTGGCTTTAAGCCTTTGTGGTTAACTTTAAACTGAAATCAACAGTTAATTTATCCATAATGATTGATTAAAACAAGGTCATGAGGGTTGTGGCACATGCATTTTTTATAGCTGCTGCATGATGTTTGTCCAGAGATAACATGGCATATGTGTGTGTTTAGATATGATTTCTCACAAGCTTCTTGCTTATTGATCTGAAGAATTTGGCGGTCTTTAATTATGGAGGTGCAGACACTGTTGTGTCACAATTTCCACACATGCTTGTGTCGGCTAAATTGTTTGCATAATCCATGCAAAACATGGGAAAAATTGCAAATATTTGAAAATTTGTGTTCAAATCAGAGGTCGGCAACAGTTGAAAATTTTCCATAGATTTGCGTATTTCAGCCACTAACGAAATAAAACAACTGCTTGTGAGTTACTTTTAAACATAGAAAAACTCTATTTCTTTTAGTTTTTAGTTTATCGAGGTCCACTTCGTGGTTAGCATTAAATAAAAGGATTTTAACAATTCTAAAAAGTATGGGAGTAAACCTAACTACATTACAACAACAAAATAACTACGACATCCTAAATAAAATGCCAAGTTTGTTCTATAATTCTAAAACTAGAAGAAACAAGTAAAAACAGCAGCTAAGTTTGGCCAGGCCGAACTTTTAAACTTGAAAAACTTCCCAAAAAATCCGTCGAAAGGGCTATATGAAGAAGTGGTAATTTCCAAAACAATCCGTTGAAAGGTCTGTATGAATAAGTGGTAATGCATATACTATTTTTTTGTCATAGGCTGTTGTACCCATAACGAACCTTAAATACGAATCCCGGTAAAAATGTCGCTAAATTAATCAAAATAGCGAATATCGGGTGCTATTCGATATAGTGAACCTATATAGAAAATTCTCTTCCAGGGGTAAAGTAATCCGAAGGAACTTCCTTATGTGGATTTGGCTACATTCATCAACATACCGAATATCGGGAGGTACCATTATATGGGGAATATACGATATCGTAGACCTATATAGACAATTCTCTTTCAAAGGGTAAAGTAGTCACAGAGAACTCCTTGAGTAGAATTTCAGGCAATTCCATATAAAAATGTGGCTAAATCATCAAAATACGGGGTTCCATTATATGGGGGCAAACGATATGTTAGACCGCTATATTCCATATTAACCTGCCTGCAAACAAAAGACTGATATGTACAAAATGTTAGTTCTCTACCTTAATTCGTTTGACTCTAGCGCGATTGAAACAGACGGGCAGGGCTAAATTGTTAGGTTTAAAGTTATTATTTCGATGAATTACAGACGGAATGACGAACTTAATATATCTTCCATACTATGGTGGAGGGTATAAAAATGTGGCTAAAATAATCAAAGTACCGAATATCGTTTATATGGGGCCGTTTATATCGTGGACCGATATAGTTCGTCATCGAACTTGGCCTGTCTGCAGACAAAAGAATGATCTTTGAAAAATTGTAGCTTCGTATCTTAATTCTTTTTGATTCTAGCGCGATTACAGCATAATATCGGTCGGACATAAATTCTTATTTCGATGAGTTACAAACGGAATGACGAACTTAGTATACCCTTCATACTATACACGAGTATGGTGGAGGGTATAAAAACCGATTGGTATTTGAAAATATTTTCCTCCACTTTAATATGATTTTCTAATAATTCTCAGCCTAAGAAGACTTCCCAACTACCAGCTTTCCAGAAAACCATTCACTTTAATTGACTACTATATGTTCCGTTATCTCCTTTAAAAAAATCATTTATAGCTTCAATGGTTTACATTACTGACAACACCTTGCATTGCCCCTAACATCTTTACGACCAATAGCCGCCGCCTAGATGAAGTGTGTGAAATTAAAATTACTGTAAAATGCCATCAAATTCATAACTCATCAATATTTATGTACTGAAAAACGCAACATCGGCCAGCCTCAGACATAACACTGGCATTAACATCAATGGCACGAACAGATAAGAATTCCGTCTGTCGGTATGGCTGTCTGTCCGTGCCATAACTCCTTTAGAAACAATGGAAGTTATGATCGCTGCTAGTCATCTATCTGGCAATTCATTCAAACAATCTCCCATCTTTCGTTTGTATCTAGGCTGGCTGTTTGGCTAGCTGGATGGATAGATGGATGGATACGCGTTTGGGCATCAATCGTTAGATTGAACGATCGATCGTCTGAACGGTGTGTCTCGCGTTTCCAATGAACTATTCGACTATTAGGCGAAACATAAAAATCTCTTAACTACCAATATTTCAATCAATTTTTGACATCTGAGCCAGCTACTTGATGTGGAACATGTGTTTTCGTATAGACGTAGTAGTAGAGCCAACACAGTGGTCAGAGAGGATATCACAACCGTCGATCGTGAAACCAATGCCTGTAAGAAGCAATTCTTCGTTGTTGTAAAAGATGTTGTAAGACCTTTATTGATACACTTAAGCTGTAGGAGGAAAATCCTGATTGCCCTGCTTGCTATTTTTCTAATATTAGATTCGAATTTTAGAAAACCAGTAAAAATGGAATTGAGTTCGACCGGGCTGAAGTTTTAATACCATCCTCAATTTGGAAGGAAATGCAAAAATTAAAAAAAAAAACCTTTATTGGTGGCTTCACGAAGACGTGGACCCGCATACTCGATATTTTGTCACAGACTGTAGTACACATTTACAAACTTAACCTGCCTAAGGGCAAAATACACATATGTGCAAAAAAATTATCTCAGGGAGACAGACGGATTCTAAGTAGACTTAGAATTTTACGCTGATCAAGAATTAGTTGGATCTAACAAGAGTATTTCGAGAAGTTACAAACGGAATGACAAAGTCCACATTATGGCAATAGTTAACCAACATCGACCGATTTTCGGTATTTTGAGGGTTACTGCCACAATTTCTAACCAAAGCAACTGAAATTTAACATTTGGGGTTTTTGGTTGGTCTGTTCTGTTCCTGCAATAAAATATTCACTATAGGTCCACTAATTGGTATAGCCTCCATATTACGGCACTTCACGATTTTCGGTATTTCGAATGTTTCTGAAACAATTTTTAACCGAAATAGATAACAATATGGGTTTCACTATTTGTTTTTTTATACCAAAGTATGGAGGGTATATTAAGTTTGTCATTCCGTTTGTAACACCTCGAAATATACTTTTTTAGACCCCACAAAGTATATATATTCTTGTGGAAATCACTCTAGCTTCCGAACGAAATGAAGTAGGTTGAAAAAATTTTACTCAAATGTGTATTATGTATTCAGGACTCTTGGTATTGAAAATGGTGATGTAGGTCCACGTTTTGGTATAGCCCTCATATAATGGCACCTCCCTTTTTCGGTATTTAGGGTGATTAAAACGACATTACTCACCGGAAATGTTTCAAATTTGATATTTGAAATTCGTAATAGGTACTACAGCCTATGACAGAAAATTGTCTGTGCACGTCTTCGTATAACCCCCATTTAACGGTACCTCCCGATATTCGGTATTTTGATGATTTTAGCGACATTATTCACCGGAATTGTTTTAAATTTGGTATTTGAAGTTCGTAATGGATACTACAGTCTGTGATAGGAGATTTTCTGTGCAGGTCCACGTCGTCGTATAGACCCTAATATAACGGCTACATTAGGTATTTTTAAGATTTTAATAGACTTTTTAGTTATTTTTTTTTTTTTTTTTGAAAATTGCAAAAATCTTTCCAGACGGCAGAGTGTATTCAAAGATCGGCCCGGTCTCATAGAAATAAAGGTTGTAGACCCTAGGTTTCTTTAGACCAAATTCGTTTCAGGACATTTATTATAAAATCCGAAATAAGCATCTATTTCTCTTCATATTTCACACATCCCGTTATTTCTAGTAATCAAGATCTGCTGTGAAGATGGGATATATCGGTACTCTCCTTCTGGTCCTTCTACCCACAAAGAGTCAAGATTTTGAATATCCATGAAACTCATAAGACGCGAAATTAACATTCCATTTCATTAAGATTTAGTACATCTCAATATTTCCATCCACACAAGATATGTTGTATAGACGTTAGATCAGATGAATATGAAAATGAAATACTTTTGTCGACTGTATCTGGCCCCACGCAAATTTAAAGATTTTCTAAAATTATCATTATTATCATTCTCGAAAAGTACTAAAATGTGTTACATGCCGCACCAATATATGTGGGGGTGAGTTAAGCGTGAAACAGCTATATTTTGAAAAAAAAAAAAAAAAAAAAATGGTCTAAAATATTTATCAATGACTATAGGTCACTAATTACTAATTTCACCACTCCACAAAATTATCACTTTTATCTACTGTAAAATTGTCTTATGCATTGTCTATGCTTTTATAGGTCTTAGACTAAAACGTACTTTCAATTAATTGTTGTGTTCCTCTCTGGAATATCTTACACGGAACACTGGGACACCGAACTAAACTTCGTGAAGTTTGTGTGGTTATTGCCTCTTCAAAATTTATTGATTGAGATTTCGGTTGGTACAACAATTTGAAATGTCTATCTGGCATGTAACATCCCATCATTGCGGGTATGCTTATCAATAAATCTTATATGGCTTTTAACAATAATAAACGTTAAATCAATTAAAAGATAAGAATCTATTAAAAACAACAAAACAAGACACATTAATCCAGGCCAAAGTGGAATGTGTCCAACAATTCTTCATTAATTGTGGCAAATTGCCATTTCATTCGGGGATTGCTGTTGTCACATGCATTGGCTATCACCGACATTTGATCACCCTGCCGCACTGCCTCCAAACAGTTGATACCAGCCTGACCATGGACCAACCACTTGAGCTCACGATCGTAGAACCAAAACTGATTGCCACCCTGCTGATGGCATGGCCACATCAAGACCTTTGAATTGGGATTTAAACCTGGAACATCCAGGCACAGATCGCCATCATGTTGACGTACATCACGATGTTCGCTTAATTCCCAGAATTGATTAGGTTGAGGAAAGGTTTTGTTCTCGGCACATGGATATAAGCCCACTTCACTTTGGCGCCCATTGTTGAGTGTATCCAGACAATACTGGGGGAAGGCAAGACTTTGTATGGCACCAGAGGCATAATTCTCAAATTGATCAACGGGATATTTCAAGAGCAAGTCTGGAACGATTTCATCTAAAAACCATTGAAAGGACTTGCATTCTAAAGTCTGGCGAAGTTCCTGCTGTTTGCTTAGATCACCAGCATCCAAGTTGTGATAGAGTTCAGGATTCTTTTTGTAAAAATGATATTTGTAGTCATCCATCCAAACCTCTGCCACACGTTTGTGGTTCTATGGAGAGAGAGAGAGGGAGAGAGAGAGAGAGAGCTGGATTACTAACAGTTACTTTCAGACTGGAATTTTACTTACCCTCGCTACGAAGTTGTAATCTCTGGGTTTCTCCTCCGTTTTCCATGGTCCCCGGAAAATGTGTGCCACTCGTGAACATGGCACATCATAGAGGTAGCCACCACACATCCAAATTTTAAAACTCAATTCATATTGTTCGGCTCCCCAGATATCCAAACCCTCGTCATAGCCACCCAATTCCCAAAAGAATTCTCGATTTATGGCAAACAAACCACCCATCATTATGGGATTGGGATACGGCATGGAGCTGTCGCCGCCAAACTCCGGTAATTGAGGTAACATCTTATACAGCATAGACCAATCGAAAGCCCCGCGGACGCCTGATTTTTCAGCAGCTCTATATTGGAAAGTGGCATGTTCTATGACATCCACAATGGGACACGTGGCAATTCTGTGATTTAAGGCAATCGGTTCCAGTAGAGGTGGCAGCCAATTATAGGAACACTCAATGTGGGAATCGAAGAACACCAAAACATCGCCTTTTGCCATGCGAGCACCCGCCAAGCGAGCTGCAATTAGACCACTTCTCTGTGGCAGCCGCAGAATTTTTACTAAATCTCCAAAATTTTGCCCAACATATTCGTCCAAACGATCCTTGAGATATTCACGAACGCTGCCATCATCCACAATGATAATTTCCACCAAAAGCTGGGGAGGGGTGCGGTTTACAATGCTATGCAAAGTTCTTGCCAGAACGCTAAAGTATTCGTTGTAGAAGGGGATGACAACACTCACAGTGGGCAACTGGGCTAAATAGGGTTTCGAAAGACATCTAAGAATATTAGGAATAATTACAAATTGCACAGAAATAACATTTAACCACTTCTTACCCTCCAGGTCGCACATCAAGTACGGAGCGATTAACAGAAATTTGATCAGAGAGAATGGCATTGAAACCATTTTCCAAAGAGGTCTTTTCAAGAACTTCCGATGGAATATTACTTTCAAATGTGGCAGCTTGACCTTGTTCTCCCAAGCCCTGCCGTTGTTGATCAGCTCTAATTAACTCCAAATCTTCCCAATCTTTTCGTAGACCAATGACTTCTGGCAACCGAAAATAATCGACATTAATGGAGATTTTCTGTTTCTTTCGTTCGGAAAAATAATTTGTTAAATTTTCCTTGGGAATTCGTAAGGGATGCCGTTTTGGTGGCCTGGGTGGACGTAGTGTCGTGAGTGGTACATCATTTCGAAATGCTGGTGTTACATCTTCGGAGGTGGAATTTTCCTCTGTGACTGCCACGTTATCTGTTTTGGGGGTTCTTCGGTCCACGAATAGAGTTGCAAATATGGCCACAAAAAGAGCTGCCAAAGCGTAGAAAACCGGTTTGTAGGATTTACGATGTTTTACGGCGCGCTTTTTGATTTTTGCCATTTTCTATAACAAAACGGTGATCTTCAAACTAAAAATGTGAACTGTTACCGGAGAATGTTGGCTTTGAACCACCCCCGACACCAACTACTAACAGAATATTGACTTGACACCAATGTTCGATGTCGACTTCGATTTCTCTCAAAATAGTTATAATTATCTTAAAAGCCTTTTCTTGTGAGATACCCACTGAACTACAGACATTTTGTTGTTTTACAATAATTTTTCAGATAAGAAATTCTGTTAACGATGGGTGTCTGCACTATCTTCGACAAGTTATGACGTATTGATACATCGATACAATGAAGATATTTCAATGACGAATACCTAGTCTAGTTGTATTGAATAAAAAGAATATGCTTCATCAAATTTTGTGTATTGGACTATATAGGTCTAAGTTTTGATATAGACCCCCTCCCCCATGAATTTAAGGTGCTTTTATTACCTCAGTCAGAGCTTGATGATCTGAAATTTGCACGGAAAGGGAAAGCCACTACAATGGTGTGGATGATGGCTTACAAGGTCCGTTCTTTGCAAATTAAACACCGAAAAACCTCCAAGTTCGGCTTAAGTTCTACTAGCAGCAAAGTTTGTTTTTGTACTGATGGACTTTTTGTCCACAACATCTACATTGCTTCCAATGCATACACCTGTTATAGTGCTGCTGATATATACTGCTCGAATACCAAATCTTAACACATTTTCAAAAGTGTTACTTCCTAAATGATGGAATACCCTCAAAGTCCTGCCCTGCAGAAATTAGCTCCTATCTTCTTGTTGGGGTGTTATAAGTCTGATTTGGCCCAAAAGTTTTTAACACTTCGAAGTACTGGTCCTTATATAACGATCTTCCTATCTCGCCGAGCTGAGTCGACCTAGCTATTTGTGTCCCTCCGTTTTTATACCCTCCACCTTGGAAAGGAGGGTATATTAACTTTGTCATTCCGTTTGTAACACCCTTAAATATTCGTCGTAGACCCCATAAAGTATATATATTCATAATCAGCTTAAAATTCTAAGTCGATTTAACGATATCCGTCTATCTGTCCGTCTGTCTGTCTGTCCGTCTGTCTGTTGAAATCACGATACAGCCCACACTATTTGACGTAGACGCCAAAATTTAGCAGAGCAATTTGTATTGTGTCTAGGATGGTTGGTATTGAAAATGAGATATATCGGTCCACGTTCTGATATAATCCCCATATAACGGTACCTCCCGATATTCGGTATTTTCATGATTTATGCCACATTTCTTCACGGATTTGTCTGAAAATTGGTATTTTTAGGTCATAACGGGTCCATGTACGTGTCGCAAAACATTGCATGTATTGGTCCACGTTTTGGTATAGCCCCCATATAAAGGTACCTCTCGATATTCGATATTTTGATTATTTTTGCCACATTTTTTCACGGATTTGTCTAAAAATTGGTATTTGTTGGTCATAATGGGTTCCAGCTCCGGTAGCGAAACATTGCATGTATGGGTCCACGATTTGGTATAGTCCCCATATAACGGTACCTCCCGATATTCGGTATTTTTATGGTTTTTGCCACATTTTTGCACTGATTTCTCTAAAAATTGGTATTTGTGGGTCGTAATGGATCCCAGTTCGTGTGGCGAAACATTGTATGTATAGGTCCACATTTTGGTATAGTCCCCATATAACGGTACCTCCCGATATTCGGTATTTTTATTTTTATTATTTTGATAATTTTTGCCACATATTTTTGCGGATTGGTCTAAAAATTGGTATTTGTAGGTCATAATGGGTTCTAGCTCCGTTGGCAAAACATTGCATGTGTAGGTCCACGATTTGGTATACCCCCATATAACGATACCTCCCAATATTCGACATTCTAATGGTTGTTGTCAAATTTCTTCTAATGTTTCATTTACCCTATGATGGAGGGTATTAAAAGTTCGGCCCGGCCGAACTTAATGTTTTTTTACTTGTTCCTCCTGTCCATGTTAATTTGTAATCGCACTACAAGTCACAGCTGTGGCCCGACCTTAACGAAATTGCACTGTGTAAAGATCCGAATGAAAATCTACTTTTTAGAGATGAATTAAAAATATTTAAAAACTGAAAACTTTCCTGATTTATCACTCAAATAGTCAGAAATTTCACATGGGTCCGTATTTCCGTTCCAAATCCAAATCAGCGAGAGAAGGTAGTGCCGAAGGTAGTTATAAGGGAGCTATATGAACATGTGGACTTGTATAGGTAATGTTCTATCAGTAGTAGCTATTACAAACTCCAAGTGCCGATTTTGAAACCATTCCGGTAAGAAGTGTAACAAAAATCATCAAATATTTCCGAATATCTGGAGGTACAAATATACAGGGTGAGATGTAAAAACCGCAACCAACTTCAGACTATTCCAAAAAGTGCAAAAACTTACACCGCAATAGAAAGTAAATAGACTCAAAGGAGCTAAAGAGTTGCTTTGCTTGGCCGAAAGTGGTGAGCTGCCAAATTTGGTTTCTCCGATGAGAAAACATTCGTTGTCCAGCAGTTTGTAAATAAACAAAATGATCGTGTTTACTTGCCAAAGAGGTCAGCTGAAAACGTGCACCTTCGGTTGGCCACCAGTACTCAAGCGCCAGCCATGGTGATGGTGTGGGCCGCAATAACTGCCGAGGGTCGCTCTCCGCTCATATTAATCGACCGTGGCATCAAAATAAATGCCGAATATTATCGCGAAAATATTCTGGAGCGTGTATTAAAACCTTGGGCACTCAAACATTTTGGCCGCAGACCTTGGATATTCCAGCAGGACTCAGCATGCGCCACTCAAGATTGGTCACTAAATGAGGTTCCTCGCTTTATTTCCAGCGCACAATGCCCACCAAAACCTCTGGATACCAATCCGTTGGACTATTGTGTCTGGAGTATTTTGGAAAGCAAGGTTGGGACTAAAAAATACCAAAGTGTCGATCACCTTAAGCAAGCGCTACGCCGGGAATGGGCCAAAATACCGCAGAGCAACATTCGGGCAGTGGCATCAGAATAAAAGCCGAATATTATCGCTAAAATGCTCAGGAGGGTGTATTAAAAACATTTTGGCCGCAAACCTTGGACATTCCAGCAGGACTCAGCATGCGCCACTCAAGAATGGTTACAAAATGAGGTTCCTCTCTTCATTTCCAGCTCACAATGGCCGCCAAAAACTCCGAATACCAATCCATTGGACTATTGTGTCTGGGGTATTCTGGAAAGCAAGGTTGGCACTTAGAAGTACCAAAGTGTCGGTCACCTCAGGCAAGCGCTTCACCGGGAATGGGCCAAAATACCGCAAAACAACGTTTGGGCAGAGAGTTTCGGCGACGGTTTCATTGGCCGTTTGAAGGCCATAATTCGTGCAAAGGTGACCAATTCGAACAAATCTAAACCATAAAATTTAAAAAAAAAATGTTACAATTATGGCGTTTGACTTTGTTGCAAGTTTTATCGACAGTTCACCACTTTCGGACAAGCGAAGCAACTCCTTAGCTCTTTTGAGTCTATTTCCCTTCTTTTGCGGTGTAAGTTCTTGCACCTTTTGGAATTTTAACGGCTTTGCCCCGAGCTCATTTTTCAGTATTTCACGAATAGAATATTGTGATATGTTCAGCTCACGAGCCATTTTTCGCGAGCCACTGCGACGCGGATTTCGATCAAGTCGCTTTTTTACTTAGCGAACCATTTCTTCTGATGTTGTTGTTTTCTTCCGTCCACTTCCTTGACGTCGGGCTACGCTACCAGTATCACGGTAACGAGCGATGGCACGAGACACAAAAGATTTATTCGCATTTCTATGCTGAAGTGCTCTAATGATAGCCACTTTTGGCTTTCCAGCCAAATATAAAGAAATCACACTATCACGCTTGAATTCTATCACGAATAACTTTTTTTCTGGAAAATTCTCACGAAAATGTTTTTGTACGCTTGTAAAGAATATAATGAACTGTCACTGGAATAATTCTAACAGCTGTCGGACGAGTGGCTAAGAAATGACAGCAGTCTGAATTTGGTTGCAGTTTTATCATCTCACTCTCTCCCTCTCTCTTTATAACTAATAAGGTTTGTTAATAATATGTTCATGGTAAGGGTTATTTTCTTGAACTTCGTTTGCAAAATGCATATGCAGCTCTGCATTTACTGTAATTTAATTCGTCAAATCCGATTTCTGATTTGTGGGTATGTAACTGCTGTATGAATATACTTTTTAGCAATTAGATGTTGTCAAATGCATTAACTTGAAAAAAATGCAAACATATTCTGCGAGTTACCTTTTTAATTCTGACATGTATTTTTTTAATTCTTTGTGGAAAAGCCGATAGTTTCAGGGACTTTAGCAAAGTTGGACATTTGGCAAGAAATATGTTAAACTGCCGGCATTTCTTTTACAATTCATTTTTTTCTTTATTTTTGTGCTCACTTCATCCCTATGACACGATAAATTTAAACCAAAACAAATGAAAAAACTTATTGAAAATAACATCTCGTGTTTCAGGAATTATAATTAAAAAATATAACGTTCCGAAGCGTTAAGCGTGAAGTAAGTGCATTCATTTATTCGTTGCAACGTTGTTGCAAATTCCTTTCACTTATGTAAATGCTTAAGCAAATTCACCCGCTCCATACATCTCGAATTCACTGATATTGAACAATGGAAGAACAATGGCAGGTGGTTACTTAAAATTCTAACAACGAAAGCGTCAAACATGTTTCGGAATGAATACGAATTGAATTTCAATTCCATACGAACTGGCCGCCAAACCTTTTTCCTTCTTCTTTGAATTGGATTTAATTGACAGATTTAAATGAGAACAAGTGTGGAGTGGAAGCAATTAATGATTTGTAGAATATGTAAATGGAAAATAATAATTCTTACATTTTATTATGGAGGCCTGCCAATGCAACAACAACATTCACATTTAATTAATAAAATATTACTTTGTTTTCTTCTCCTTTCATTGCAGCTCTTGAGCTCATTGGCCACAGACTTGGATATTATGCTCAATGACCTGAGGTCATCGCCCAGTTCACGCCTAAGTTCAAATAACCATCACTTGCATGTGCCACGTTCCGCCACCTCAACGTACACACCGTTCTCTTTTAC